AGCTTGGTGCCCGTCGGGGTCTTCATGCAGTATTCCACGTCCGTGCGGATGTTGGCCTGGCTGGCACACTGAAAGTTGCGAATAGTGAAGGTCGCTAACTGGTTAAGCAAACTCCGTTGTTTGGTAAACTATCCGCGCATACGCACCTTATCGGCATTTGCATAATTCGAGGCAAACATTTGGCAAACGACGAATTTCACCTGCGCTGCCTGGTCGTTGCTGCTGCTGATGACGCAGCTCTGCAGACGATTCCCCTCGCACTCCGCCGGTCCGTGCTGGCAGTGGAAGATTGCGCCGTTTTGCTCAGACTGTCGAGAAGAGGATCGTATTAGCAGCTGCCTGTCTCTTCACCCTTATCCCTCCATACTCACCGAAGACTTGCCGAATGGCACCAGCTCAATGTCAATATAGTCTTTTAGCTCCTCGTGCACGGGTCCCAGCTGATGCATGAATTTCCTGCTGTCCGGGCACAGCGACTCATACAGCAGAGTTACGTGCAGCTAAAGAATGCAAAAGTCGAAGAAAGATTTGAAATGGAAATCTAAATTTTCCACAACTACTCACCTTTTCAGCTTGTCGCTTTTCACGCAGAGTTTCTTCGGCCAGGCTGCAGCTGAGCACAGCAAAAATGCAGAAGGCAGTGATTAGCTTATTCATATTCACAAAATATACTCAGATTTCTGTTCCGAAATGCAGTATGCAAATATATGTGAATATGTAATGCGTTTCGCCCAATCGATGAGAATCGACCTTCGATGCACTTTCAGAATCGAAAAGTCGTTGTGCCGCCTTCACCTTCGTATGCCTCGAGCCAAGTTTTTACGTCCGTTCAATTCGATTTCAGTTCTGCGACTGAACGTTTTGTCGATTTTTGGATTTAATTTGGACAACGACTGTGAACAGTTAAAATGGGACTCAATGAGCGTGCTCATTCTCTCTACGTCTCTCTCTATTTCTCTCTGACTCTTGCAAGCCGGTTTTTACATTTCTGTTTTAATTTCGGAACTCCAATATCAAATCTTGACGCACAGTTACAGCTTTAGGTGTTAACTGGGTAATGGACATGGGATCAGGTTCTTAATTTAATTCACAATTCGTATACTATTGCCCCCTCGAACTGTTAATTTCCGAAAGACGTTAAGCTCAAAGCCCAGAAAGCGACCGTTAATATGAACAAGTTCTTTTTAACCATTAACCCATTTCGTAGATGCTATGAAAAGAGTTTATCTTTAAAAGCTCAAATTATACAAAATACAGGGTATACATGTAGATAGCTTTATAATAAACCACTTCCATGCTGTAACAACACCTCAATTTCGAGCATGAGCTCTGAAAGAAGTTATTTTATTTAAAACAAGTAAGAACGTTGCAGTCGGGCGTTACCGACTGCGGAATACTCATTCACATCCCATCAACAATTTAGTAGTTAAGTTTCGCTCTAATACTGTAGAATATACAGGTTTTTCCGATTTGCCACGCCCCAACTGGGCGTAGACACCTCATTTTTGGTCAGTTTTTAGAAAGAGATAACGGTACCCTAACTGCAAAGTTTGAATGCTTACTCTCAAAAAATGTGAAAATTACAGGGTATTTTTCGATATGCCACGCCCCTAAAGAGGCGTAAAAATTATTTTTAGGGAATCGATAGAGGAGGCTACCAGTAACTCAACTATCCAAATTTGAAGCTTCTAGCTATTATACTTTAGGAGATATAAACTTTTGCGGTTTGCCACGCCCCCTGTGGGCGGACATATATCCGACAAAACTTTTTGGTCTTGGGTGATAAGTCCGAGTATATATACAAAATTTGAGGTCTCTGCCATCAATAGTGTCCAAAATATAGGAGAATTTAAAAAATCACTATATCTTCAGGTCCGATTTGCCACGCCCCCAATGGGCGTAGACTTATAATTTATCTTCAGACTTTATAGAATCATGCCATTAGCTGACGTGCAAAATTTCAGCATTCTAGGTTTACAACTTTAGGAGATACAGTTTTATCCGATTTGCCACGCCCCCAATGGGCGTAGATATATCCGCCATAGCTCGTGATCTTGGGTGGTCAACGCGGACCTACATACCAAATTTCAGCTTTCTAGCTCTTCAACAAACATGATTTCTGGTATATCGGAAAATGCATTTTCCGATTTGCCACGCCCCTAGTGGGCGGATCGGGAAAATTTTAACACTTTATAAATCGGAGATATACACGAGTATGTGTTCCAAATTTCAAGTCTCTAGCTTCAATAGCGCCGAAATAGATTGCGTTCATACGGACAGACGGACAGACGGACGGACAGCAAGACGGACATTGCACAAAACCAATATACTGATTCACTTTCGTGAATGAGTATAAAAATATACTAGTTCTTTTGCTTCAAGTTCGATTGGTACAACATTTTATTTATAAATTCAGAAAAAATGGTTCATATGAAACCTATAATACCCGATGATAAGTGAACAACTTTCTATACTTATTTATGATTGTTTTTCATTATTTTAGCTAATTAGAAAAAATATATATATATTAATATGGCCGTAAAATCCGAATAAAGTTTAACAATCATCGGGTAATAAAAGATTCTTTTTAACCATTATGTTGCATAGAGTTTGGCTGACTTTCATTCGAGAAGACCGCTGCAGATTTACAGAAAATACCTGTATAAATGTATATAGAAATAAATATAGATATACACTCATAGAACTAATTACTAATGAATACTCACTCCATCGTATACAATGGCAGGTATTTCGCTAAAGCTATATCGATTGGTTATAATCGAAGATTGGGTCTGCAGTTGATTCCCTCTGCCGCTTGGGCGCATGCAGCGCTCTACGTGATCCTCGATATTTAAGGCCCGAGCGCACGTGAAATTCTTTTTCACTGTCAGTTGAAAATCTTTCATTTGACACTTTAGAAATTTCATCTGATCGAATTGGTTCAAGTTGGAGTGAATCGCGCAGTCTTGCATTCGATTGCCCCAGCACTCAGAATCGCCATGTTGGCATGTATGACCAAACGGGGCTGAGCTAGACGGCTGAGCGTGAAAATTAATTAAATAATGGACATTTACCAAGATTTTTGTAACGTAAACTTACTGAGGCCTTGCCATAGGGCACCAACGTTAGATTGATGCACTGATGGTATTTTCGGTAAACGGGCCAAAAGTTGTTGATATAATTTTTGCTATCAGGACAGAGGGACTCGTACAAAACAATCATTTCCAAAGGCTGATTAAAAAATTCCCATTTGAAATCTCTCAAAATAAACTTTTATCAAACTCACCTGTTTTGAACGCTGGCATATTTCACCGTTGCAGTGCAAAATGTGGAGCAGAGCTAGAGCAAGATATAATTTAAACATGTGACCTGATATCCAAACAACTAACAACTATCATGAAATGCAAATTTCAACTAGATTTTATAATGAATTTAATTGATGCGCACTGCATATCAAATGAAATTAATTTCAAAATTGGCGTAACCATCTTATAGCAAGCAGCTTTTGATTGAGTGTAAACAGTACTATACAACAAGCAAAGAAAACTGAAATTTGTTGTTTCACCGTTGCAAAAGAAAAGATTGACCGACCGCCACAATCTGTCGATCCGATAAACGATAAGCATAATTTACATTAACATTTTATTCTGATTGGACCCAGCCTTTTCATTAACAAAACAAACTGCGAAAACAGCAAAAACATGAAGAAAAAGGTAAATAAATATCAAAACTTGTATAAATAGCATTCGAATAGAAATTTAAAGTTTTTGTTGTATGCAAAACAGGTACTACTTATGGGCAAGAGCGGCTCAGGGAAGACCAGTATGCGGTCCATCATTTTTGCCAACTACGTTGCCCGTGATACGACACGCCTGGGAGCAACAAGTAAATACGTACTTATACCGTATCACCCAAACTAGTAACTTATTAATTAACCATCTGCAGTCGATGTGGAGCACTCTCATGTCCGATTTCTGGGCAACCTGGTTCTCAATCTGTGGGACTGTGGCGGCCAGGAAAGTTTCATGCAGCAATATTGTACGCAGCAGCCCGACAACATCTTCCGCAATGTTGAGGTTCTCATCTATGTATTCGATGTCGAGAGTCAGGAGCTGGAGCGCGATGTGCACTACTATCAAAGTTGTCTCGAAGCACTGCTTCACAACTCGCCGGATGCCAAGATATTTTGTCTAGTACACAAAATGGATTTGCTTGCCGAAGAACAGCGTGATCTTGTGTTTAAGGTGCGCGAGGGAGATCTCATAGGCTTATCGAAACCAGGAAATGTGACGTGCTTTCGCACCAGCATTTGGGATGAAACACTGTACAAGTAAGTGAATATATAGATTCATGAAATATTAATGGCTCATCGACCTTTAATTCCACAGAGCTTGGTCGTCGATTGTCACGATGCTAATTCCTAATGTAGCAGCCCTGGAGAACTCTTTGACCCACTTTGCCAATGTGATTGAGGCGGACGAGGTGCTGCTGTTCGAGAAGGCAACCTTTTTAGTCATCTCACACTGTCAGAGCAAAAAGAATCGGGATTCGCATCGGTTCGAAAAGGTTTCGAACATCATTAAACAGTTTAAGCTGAGCTGCTCCAAGCTGGGGGCTAAGTTCCAATCGATGGAGGTGCGCAACAATGCGTTTGCCGCTTTCATCGATACCTTCACCAGCAACACTTACATCATGGTGGTCATGTCGGACCCCAATCTGCCCTCGGAAGCGACGCTTGTCAACATACGCAATGCCCGCAAGTACTTTGAGGAGCTGGAGAATCCGAATAACGTTGGCACGAACCACCACAACCACAAGTACCACTGATGGACTGTCGGATTGTGTGATTGTCGTTAAGTTTAATGTTAAACCATTTCTGTTACTGTCTGTTTTCCGTTACGAAAGCACACGGTTTATTGTTGCACAGCGAAAGTCTAAATGCTTCCCAAACCATGCATATACATATAAACATATATATATATATAGCGAGCGGCTTCTTGTTCAGCGAACGAGTATGGGCCTTAATATTTCCTACATTTATAAGAGCGCTTTATACACTAAACCATTAGGCCTTAAGTTGTATACAAGAACAAACACCAAACTATGTAAAAAGAAACATTTATAAATACAAATTTCTAACCATAAGACATATTCATATATACATATAAATGCCACATCTAATAACACGTATACATAATATGTATATCGAGTAACAAATAGGGAACAACTATGTATATAAGACCCAACATCGCGTTGCACATATCACAGACACATAAATCGAAGGCACAGCTGGCTGAGAATCGCATTGGCCGATCTAGGAGTAGAACCGTCTCACCTCCGCAGAGAGCTGATCTACGCTGGACTCGTCCACGGCAACGAATCGCTTGGCTCCGCGACTAAAGTAGTAAATATCACCAGTATAAATATCGAACCAAAGCGCGTGTATGTGCAGATTGTGGGATTCGAGGCGTGTTTTAAGAAATCCGTATGACGCAATGTTCGACATCTGTTGCAGTGTGTTAATCTGTGATAGCTTGTCCTCGACGGCAAACTTTTGCTCCTCGTCTATATAGGCGACGAAACGGCGCAGCGGCGTCTCCGAGGAGAATATGAGAGGATCCTTCATGCCCGCATCGCGCCACTCCTGAAACTTTTCCAGGCTGGAATTGGCGTGCGTGCACATCCAGGAACGCAGTGGAGACAGTCGACGATTTAGCTGGAATATTGAAAAGGAGATTCAGATATTCCTTCCAATTCTCTGCGACAAGTTGGACCCAAGCTTACCTTGGACGCAAAGTCGGGATCCCGCAGTTGATACAATAGATTCATGGCCTTGCAATCGCTATGTCCACACACAATGATGTGCCTGATGTCATTCACAACGCACCCCAGCTCCAATGCCGCTGGCTCGCAGCTGAAGTACTCGTCCTGGAAGTGCTGGGCATGCGGTATCAGATTTCCCGCGTTTCGCACTAAACATGAGAACGAGGGCAGGTGTCAGAAAAGATATTGGTTTAGTTGTGATTCGATGTGTGTGTCGTACCCACCCACAAACATGTCGCCAACGTGTGTGTCCGTGTATCTCGTGGGTATCATGCGACTGTCCATGCAGGTGAAGAACACGGCCTTCGGCTGATAAGGGCAACGTTTAATATTAGAACAGATATCGAGCGCTCAGATTGGATAAAATATGTATATTTAGTAACGCAGTTTGTGTTCAAGTTGTCAATGTGTCAATTTTTTGGACATAAGCCAAAGTGCTTGATGGGATATGATGAAATTGTCAAAGTCAGTCTCTCTCTCTTTCTCATGGAAAACAATGTAAACATGCAGGGCATCGAAAATCTGATATACTTCAACAATTTGCAAGGTAACTTAAAGTGAGCCTGAAAGCTTTTTATTTGTTAATATCTATATTAATTATATTAATTAACAAAATATTTTGGAAAAGTAAAAGCACTCATGTTAAACGTTTAAAAATAAACACAAATAAATATTTTGCACTTGAGTAAACTCAACCGGTTAGCCTTTGTTGTTTGTTTACCAAAATCTGGACGATCTGAGAGCGAGAGCGGCTGAAAGAGAGCGGATGATGCCTGTTCCAAGAGTGTAAGCTCTAGAAGACCCTCAGGCATACGCTGAGGCATTTTTGAAATGCCTTTTATGACACATGCACAGAGAGTGTGTGAGAGAGATAGAGAGAGAGAGGGGCAAAGCAACAGCACGCGAGATAAGCGTGCTACGAGCTTCTCTCGAAGTGTCTGGAGTTCAGTTTGGTTCGTCAAGCCATAAAGACTGTGATAATTGCCCACACAACTAACAACAACAAGAAATCGCATGCCGCACTAGTCGCAGTTATGCTTCAGTAAATGATTATTTGGCTTAGCTAATTAAAAAACAGCTCGCTCAATGACAAATTAACAAATTCAGTGACCGCAAGGGCTTTGTGCGAGCTCTCGAAGGTGCAGCCACTCACCTCTGGATGGTCGCGAACTTTTTGAAATTCCTTGACCATTTGCTCTCGGGTCGTGTTGCGATAACGCATAATTCCTCTCAAAATGCGCTCCATGATGTGCGACTTATGCTAATTACGCCAACTAGTTGATAAGCAGTCCTAATTTTGGCACTATTATTGAATCCACTTGGAAATGATTTCACATGTGTTGCGCTCAACTGTTCGAGTCCAATTGGAATCGCGTCGCAGCACCAACCAAAACTGTCGGCGGAGCATTTGAAATCGAATTGTTGCTTCTAAAACACGCGACGACTGCGGCGAGAGAGCAGCGACTGTTGGCAATGTTGACAGTCCAGTTGGACTCTCAGAGAGCGTTCGCATGGCGAGTGGAAACTACGCTCACGACTAGAATGAGTGCTTAGGCTATCTATTCAGTGAACGCCGTTTTTAATGTATTTTGATATATTAGTAAAATTACAAATAATTATTAAATATAGGTAATTATATTATATGCTTTGGTATACTTTATTTTTACACTTGAATGTGTCTCCGCCTTCTCTTCGTATCTTTGCGTCGTGAGCACGTGAGCACATTTTCTACTCTATCATAGCTGTTCCACTCGCTCAGAGAGCGACCTTTGCACGTTTTTCTATCAGAAAATTGAGGGGCTCGCATATGGCTGATGACGTCGCGCGTCAGCGATAAATTGCGTCTGCAGCAACGAGAACGAGAAAGAGAAAGAGAAAGAGAAGGAGAACGAGAACTAGAACACACCTTAACTGGGCCACTGTCGAGGCGCGTCGCGGCCCTCTTTTGTGTCAACATGCTGCAATATTTGCTCTGTAACTTTGTAGCTTGAGGCAAAAATGAGCGAATCAATTGCATAATTGAATCGGGAAGAGGCAGCTAGCGAATTTCCAGACAGACAACACCCAAATACACTACATATGCGACATATGCGACACTTATCAGTGTAGCTGATACGATTGCTGTTGTTTATTTTATGGCTTCCTTGAGCGCTGGACACGGTTTCTGATGTGCGTTTCATTATCATTAATAGAAACTTAGATGATTTGATTTTGTTCCTCATCTATATGTATGTATGCACGCTTAATCAAAAATGACTATGCAAGGTCATTGGGTAATCACTTAGTTATATATTTATTAAAACAGGGTGTAGTTCAGCTAGAGTCGTGTAAATATGTATGGTTTATAAATAGATATGTATTTCTATTTAACTGGAAGTTTTTTTTTTTTGATGATTTATTAAAGCCATACGGGGTAGTTTAGTAACCCCTTTGTGTGCTTTTTTACTATTCATTCAGCCCATTTGGGCGCGCCGGCTAACTTAGTTAGCAGTTGCAATATTTACAAATATTAACTGGAACTAGAAATATGTTTTCAATAATCATCGGTAGTTAGAAATGTCTTCCCTATGAAGGGATTTTCAACTGAGCCGATTAGCAATTTACAGTTTAGGTACATGATTTTATCTATACGATTAATATGTGGCATAAATGATATAATATAATGGTAATGATAAGATTTACTAAGTATTCAATAATACTTTCAAATACATGTGTGAAAAACATAGAATTCGTCAATTGAAAATGATCTTATATTTCCTTTCGGATCTGATCTTAGCATATTTTTAAACCACTACTAAAATGTCAATAATTATAAAAAAAAAACAACATATTTTTATTTCAAATATCAATTTTCTCCATTCTAAAATATTTACAAACGTATTTAATAAAAAAAAAAATAAAATAAAATAAAATAAAAAAAAATATTTTCTTTTATGTAACTCAATCCAATTCATATATTTCACCATTGAATTGCCTACTTTTAGGCAGACAGAAAAAATGGTGAAAGCTTAAGTTTGTATGTATATTGTTAATAATAGGACGTCGACCGTTGTTGCTCGTAATTGATCGCCCTTTGTAGAGAGTGAGTATTTCATTATACTGGGTGGATGCCGTTTCCTGGAAACGTGCGTCGCATCTTTCATTAACCATTTAAGAATTTTCTCAGGCCTTTTTGGAGTCTGAAAGTGGGTTACACACCTGTAAGAGTAAGAGAGGCATTCGCACATCCAGTGCAAATATTATGAAATCCCCCGTAACAGAATGAAAGCCAACAAAATTTCAAGTTGCTGCCACAGCCCGGGGGGTTTCCGACAAAATGCTGTAGTGGAGTTGCGGAGATGGAGAACAGCAACAGCAACAGCAACAACAATAACAACGGCAACAACAATAATAGTAAGCATTTCACCAGCTCGAAGGCGAGTCGAAGCCCAAGCAGATTCACTCTTGATGATTATAAAGTATTGTTGTTTTGGGGGCACTCGGCTCGGCTTGGCTCGGCTCGTCTCTTGTTTTGCTTTCCTTTCATTATCGAGCGGCAAAATATTGGTTAAACAAGCAAAAGCAATGAAAACGAAAGAAGGAAGAGAAGAAAGAAGACAAAAAGTAAATTTGTCCAGGGGGGCAAGGAAAGAAAACCGCAGCGTGACCAACAAATGATGACGATGGTGCCAGCATCTGCATCTTTTGAGAAAATCACGATTATGATGATGATCAGGCGGGCAGAACACTAACGCTCATGCTAAAGCTCATTACAACTGCTATCAAGTGGAATCATCGTCATCATCATTATCATCATCAGAAAATGAAGATATAGCAGATAGGGAAGAGGCAGCAGTAGCCAAGGCAAAAGCGTGGGTACGAAATAATGAAACAGAATCGCCAGCATGACAATGATTACCCGAACAACAACAGCAACAACAACGACTGAAACTGAAACGAGAAAAGAACCGCAGCAGTTTACATAGCCAGCGCACAGCGGGAGAGTACGAATGGGAATGGAACTGGAATTGCCACTCGGCCCTCAGCAGCCCCTCGCACTCCTCCTTTCACTCTAGTGCATGTGTGTGTGTGCGTCTGTTTGTGTTGGTGTCTTGGTTGCTGTCAGCTTTCAAGAATTTGGGCCAAAGCAGCGAACATAAACAAAACTTGGATGATGATGGTTACTTAACAGTGTTGAACAATAAATGAGGTAGATAACATATGCACAAGTCTGCGTGATGGGTGCGTGCGTATTAGTATTGTGTAGGTGTTGTGAAATTCTGAGAGGGACAGAGTGAGGGAGAGGCAGAGAGAAAAAGAATGAGCAAGATGATCATTTTATTGCAGGTGCGCTGGGATTTACCGATTGATTCATCAAGTGCAGCTCTTAAAATCGAATTATAAAAATATCCTTTTTTCATGTAAGATGAAATATTGTGTTCTTAATTTCAAAAATACTTCACAATTGTATGATATAGAGATCTATACGTTATTTAAGTCTCTCATCCTTAAATATGGTTATATATGTATGTATAACGAAGATATCAAAAACTCAAAAGCAACAAGATAATATATAAATTATACAATAGTTCTTTTCAGTGGAAAAACGTTTCTTTGTTATGCATGTAATCAGATCTCTTAAGATTCGTGTTAGTCTTTCGCTCCCAGCTAACTAACCCACTAACTGAATTGATGAAATGATGTCATTGTATTTTTTGGCCAACTTCTTTTTGGGGTTTCCTAAGCATAATTTATATGGGTGTTACCTGTACGCTGCTCTCGCATGCCCTTTCACCACAGCCTTACTCGCTCTCTCTCTCTCTCTTTCTACGGCTGCCATTTGGCTTATGTGGCTCTCACTCGCACAGACACAGTTTGCAAATGAGTTGGTTGATTCTTTTGGCTGACTTTTGGTTGAGTTAATTAGTGAGTATCTTTCCTCTGCACGCACATAGCACCAACAGCAACAATAACGCGTTTTGGCGCTGCCTCGCTGTATGTGTGTGAGTGTGTGTTGATACGTATGTATGAGGGTATTTGTATTCGTAATGGCGGCATTGCTGTTCTTATTAGCGTTGTATGGCTCTCTGCCGCCAGCTTTTAAGCTGCCTCTGCTTCAAAAGTGGGTCAGCAGCGTCGTTAAAGCGGTGTGTGTATGTCTGTGTGTGTCCCTGTTTGTGTGTGTGTGTGCAAATTAAATATTCACAGCGTTGGTTAAGCAAATAAAATCTCATTCTCAGCTTTGTTGTAATTGTTGTTGCATTTCGTTCTGTGCGTGTGGCTTTGTGTGTGCCTGTGTGTGAGTGTCTATGTGTATGGGTGTGTGTTGGTGCCTGGAGTAACTTTTATTTGTTTATGCGTCTTTCGGCTTAGCTCACAATCACAATCGGAATCGACGATCGCGCTGCGCATGAAAGTGAATCAGAATGCTAACAGTTTATGTTGCTGCTGCTGCTGTTGTTGTTGTTGCTTTTTCTCTTTGCAACGCAAATGAGATCAAAAGTGGGCTTAAGTCGCATCTCTTTAACCTAAATATGTCAATTCAGTTGGCCAAAACGCGCTTTATTCGCCTAAGAGCAATCGGCGACTGCGTTTGAATACTTAACACTTAAACGAAATTTTTAAATTCTTAATTGAGTTGCAAACAGTTAAAGCTAAGCTATGATTATACAGTATCCAATCTACATAAGTTTAAATGATAAAGACTTGAGCATGTATATATATTTTGGAATCATTAGAAATAAGCTAGAGAAATAATGAAAGCCGATGCATATAGTTTAAATTAATAGTTTTTTCTTTTGTTTTGTGCCTTAATAGGATAACTGTTATAGTATTTTTTTTTCCGAATCAGCAGATGCTACAGATTAGTAGGTACAGTTATGACTATATTTAGATAGTTATACAAATTTTGTTTTGTTTTTAGATTTATGCACATCACATAAATCTAAAAAAAAAAAAAAATTGAATTTGCTTAAATAAAAGTCGATGAAAATAATCGAAGTTTTTTATTTTTATAAATAATAAATTAATATGTATAAATATTTGTATAAGTTTTTTATATAAATAAATATTTGTATAAATTGTTTAATATGGAAAAATATATATTCATTTCTGTAACAGAAACTGAAATCATCTTTATATATAGATATTTAAAAGAATATTTCTTTTCTTTGTTTTTTCATCTTTTTCTTCCACTTGACAAGCCATAAGAGTTGAAACAGCATTTCTATTGTTTTTAAATATTTGCAATTTCTGAATCGCCAACAATGTGAATTTTACCTCATTCTATATTTATGTTTCTTGTTTATTATGTTTGCATAGCATTTCTTGTTTTATAACTGTTGGTGTGGACTCGTGAAAATGTTGTGAGGCGCGTCAATGCGGGCCAGATTTTGTGTTTATCTGGCTTGTGGGCGTTGCTTATTATGAGTTATGTGAGATGTAGATGTAAATGTGCTGCTGGGCCGGCTGGCTGGGCAGTCAGCGCGAT